ATGATGACTTTCGATAGGATTCTTCATTAATGAGAGAAGTTTTTGCAGATGCAAATACACTGCTATCTTCATGCACAATGATAGACTCGAAACAATGACAATCTCTAATGAATTATCAGCAACTGGAAAAGAATTCTGCAATTTGAATTTAAACAAAGAGCGAAATGAAAACGTTGAATTGAAAGAATTACACTGGAAATTTTCAACAAATCAAAATCGTTTCGGTTCAGACGAACGCCTCAAGAAACTGATGAAAGCATAAAAACAACGAGCAATTCGAGCGAATTGAAATTGAGAAGAAGGAGAAGCACTGAACGTCTGCCCCATAAAAACAAAGAAATGTCTTCGTTTTATTTTCTCGTTGGTCCACCCCATTCTCTGAGACAAGAAAGTAGCAATTATTGATGTGTTGCTCATTGATCTAATGTCTATCCCGTTGTGCTTCCTCCTCTTCTTCTTCCTGTGCGGTTTAGTCCACTGGATGGATATACGAACCGACGTTGATAAGTATTATACAAGCAACTCGTTTGCTATCAATGCTTTCACAATATCTCTAAACATTTTTCCGTGCAGATTTCCGAAAACCTTTAAACAACTTTTTATCGAGCACTGAATATTCTCTGTAACTGATTCTCATCTAGCTGATGGTTCATAGTTGTTTCTTCACCTTCCGATGGGGATGAATACTAATCAGTACAAATGTGATCTTCGCTACTATCTGCTCTGCCCTGAAATGTAGTAGTACATATTTATGTGATTAGTGTTTAAGGTTAGAATAGCTTTAAAAGAAGTTACTGAAGTAATCGTATTCACATTACGTTTGTTTTTCTTGAGCATTACTTTGAGTCCGGAGGGAAATTGTTCATTTTGTGAGGATGGAATACAAACAAATATTTAACGATAGATTCAACGAAAAATTGCGATTGCTCCTCACATCCTCCATCCATCCATCCACTGTTTGTGTTTTGCCGTTTATCATTTTTTTACGTTCGCTTCAAACAACATAAACTAATGAATAGCTATTATTGCGTATAAATGAAATGACTGCAGGGCAGTGGTTCTGACACTTTTGTAGTCAGTGCCCCATTTTGACCTTATGATGGATCATTGTTCCATCCTCCAAAAGTGCGTTGAAACGATATCCTCATCCCTTCCGGGCAACAAATCCATGAAACCAAAATTTAAATGTGTTCTAGGAATTAACATTTTGCTTTGTGCATTTAGCTAGTTACATATAAGACATAAGATATAATATATGTCTAACGATTCAAGATGTGTGAATGGAACACTAGATGTATTGTTGGATTCTCATCTTACTGTTTTACGCTAGCATGATATAATATCATTTAGTGCTATTGCAAATAAAACGCTGAAAATTAGTTTATTCAGCCCGAATCGAAAACGTTGATCACATACATAGTGCGGATGGAACACGTAATTACCAGTACTGCACGTAATCATTTTTGGTATTTTATATTCTGTGCGTATTCTTGTTTAAGTCATTCTTCTATAAGTCAAATATTTAATTTAGTATTGATGCACTCATTCTTCCGTCATACTTAGTTAGTTTCACGGATAATCGCTCATTCTTACCTTCATTCATGCCACCAATCAATCAGTCAATCAATCAACGCTGTTGATCAGCATTGTCATGATCATGAGCAATTCATTGTGGCTGCTCCGATTCATTTGATTCTTGTATTGATTCTTTCGCACCGTTTCATAATTATTCATTGTCATGTACATCACTAAAGGAAAGTGTATTCATGAACAAAATATAATGCATGATGCAAAACGCATGACTGACTGTATGACATTCGAATACAGAAACAATCAATCGCATCATTTACGTTGCTTCATATTTGATACGATTTCGTTTATCGCTGGTGTTTTTGGTGTGCTCTTGTGGTACTCTATGTTGTTTGCGCCATACCGACATTTCAGTTCACAGCGTTGTACACATTCGATCGATTGATTTACTTTTTACATTAATCTCAAGATGATTGACCAAAGTTTATCCCGAATGCATATGAGAAAGCACATTAGTTTCAGCAAATTCTTAAGACAATTTACACAAATCAAAAATATCTATCATCTCGCAGCTTAGAATTCAAAATTCGTATAGAAATGTCCATCTCATAGCCTCGATTTAAAATTCATCATTGACAGACCATTCTTGTTTATGTTGCGATAGTTGGAGTAAAATATCGTGATGAGTAATATTTTGAGCTAGGCTTAAGCTGAGGCTCATATCGAAGAAGTGTCTATTCGTTCATTAGATACCTGATTTGGACATGATAGAATCATGGATTTGTTTCGCAGACACTAAGCACAGCAAAGGCGAGAAATGCCCGAGTGTGATCGTTTCTGGTGATCGACTGAGATCGCCATATTCCTTATTTATCTCATCTCGTTTCGCTGGATTTTTAGCCTGATCGTTTTTCGTCTAATCTCATCTCGTTGAACTGCTTCTCGCATGTGCTTCATAGATGTCCCACCCTACCACGACATTATCATTAGTTTGTTCAGTAGATACCTCAACGCTTATATGAGTCTCAGCCCTAGCCTAAACCCAAATGTAATCCATCTCGATGTTTCATTCCGATTGTCGTCATTTTTTCGTTTCAGCCTTAATAGTTTTCCAAGCACTCTAACTTATCTAATCTGATGGATCTAAACCAGACTTGCCCTATGAATCCTTCCTCATTAACCGCAAAAAAACCCGTCTACTCAATTCATCAAGTAAAAACGCGTTTTGAAATTTCAAATATATTCATCAAGGAAAACCCGATGAAGTTTCAAAACGAACTGAGTTCGTTTTGAAACTTTATCGGGTTTTCCTTCAAGTTCTTAGCACTGACTTGAGATCAAATCATTAATTGTGATTGAATCATGTATCTAAATTGGTTCTCGAACTCAATCCTCTCTTTTCTACCAACGGCTTAAGTTGAGTTCCGGTTATCTGAATATGAATTCGGAATGCGGAGGTGTAACTCAGTGCCACGAGATCGATATGCCTATATCATTGAATGAATATTTATGACCCACAAATATTTCTTCCACGATATTTCTTTCTCGCTGTGCATTGCGTCCGTTAAAGCTCTTCGTAATCAATTCGGCACAGGCTTTTAGCAGTCGTTTATAGGATTGATTTGAGATATAAATCAGCCGAATGGCGATAATTTTCAAAATTTATTCCTTTTCGTTTTTCACTTAAAATTGTCTCGCTCAACATAATATAACCACTCATTCATTGTCCATTGTTGAAGCCGAATACTCTGCTGAATATGCCGCACGCTCATATTTTCTTCAATGTTGAGTCGTCCGCCATTTACAAATATTATTTTAACTGAACTTTTTGTGATTCCATATGATGATTTCTCATCAAAATCGTCATCCCCTCCTCTTCCCCTCTTTTTCCTTCCCCACCTCCCCATCATCAAAAAGCCCTTGTTATAAAATGTTCTACGTTTTGAAATTAAAGATTTTGGGAGATCCGAATTCTGTGTCGTAAAATCGAAGTTGTCTAATTGTGATCGCCCATACCACACTATTAGCTCCAACCCAGAGTCGGACATCTTAAAAATTAGGACACTTCGGACAATGAATGTTTATGAAATGCCACATAAAAATTACAGTGTAACATTCATTTATTTCTCGCTTGTTGATGTTTTTCGCTTGTTCGTCATCTTTTTTTTCATTGTCAGCTGTTGAAATTCTTAAAAATTCAATCGACGATTTGAATTTCAGTGAGAGTTCGAAATTCAATGTTCATATGAAAATATGGGAACTCTTAAGTGATCGTTGTGGGATTCGTTGATATTTGCTGCTGCTGCTGCTAATATCGCCGTTGTTCACCAGCCGACTATAAATCGATCGCAGAATTACCCGCATCCTCACGATCAGCTATCAACTACTCAGATATTCTAGCTGCTACCTGATCATAGCTAATGTGCTGATGGTTTGTGTGGCAGTGGCGTTAAAAACGTTCTCAATTCGTTGACTTCTGATAGCGCGACGAAATTTCTTGTAAGCGCCCAGAAATTATCGGAAAAATTGGTGACTGCATTGAGCGATCAGGATTTTTTGGTAGTGTACGTTCGATTGGGATATAAGCAGCCCATTTATCAGTCACTGAGTGCTGCTGGCTGACTGACATCACCGTTCGAAATACATTGTGGTGTAATTTGTCGTTTTGTGGTAGCTGTTTGTGGAAGAAGGATCAGAGTTGATTTTAGTTAGAGCTGAAGGATAAAAAGTTTTGTGTTCGAGGAGATGGGCGATAATCCACTATTAATGACAGATATATTCACTTATATATCGCCGTTATGCCTTATCGCGCTATTCTTCTTCTGTTTTTGTCGTTTTCTTGCACGACCATGCATCGCTTCATCCTCATCACGCTCATCTCGCTCAACCAATGAGTTCTCAGCAACACAAGGTGCTGCTGCCATAACGCCGTCACATCGTAACGAACGACGCAGAGGTTTGTCTTTTTTGATTATGGATAAACCTGATTCAGTTAACATCAAAACAAGGAAATTCGCTCATTTTAATGAACGTTGATTGAAATTTCAGCTTTTTTTCCCCTCCAAATATTTCATCTGAAAGCGATTGCCCAAAAATAAAATCCAGCTCAACGAATAGGACTTGTGCAATAAGCAGCTTTAAACTGGCTTCGAAGCAATGATATCCCGTAAGCTGCTGCTAATGCTGCTGGTGTTGGTGCTGCTGCCTGAGCGTACATGCGATAGTAGCGATTTTGATTGTGTTTTCACATTGTTGATTGCACGAAAGGAAGCATCAAATGAGAACCAGTTTTATGCACTTCCTCCACGATAAGCCAATAATATAGTGGAGAGCACATTTATCCTTTGCCTACGGCATATTGCGATTAACAACTCTACCATTTTGCACAGGGCATAATCATGAGCAAAAATTTTCGTGCACACTAAAATGAAATTACCACAAACATTGCACTATTCTTGTTGGTACGTATAGCTAGGTGTTGGTGGAAGACTGAATTATTCGGTAATCCAATCCAATTCGCAGTTTCTGCAATAGCAGCAGTCAGCAATCAAGTTTGATGAATTTCAAGACAATTCCTTCGTCGATTAATTGAGCGAATTGAGTATTTTCAGTCGGCACAACAGTATTTTAAGGGAGTTTGAGCCAAGCGCGCAGAAATTGAGCGATACATCGTTAAGTCAAGAGCGTTTTTCAATAAATTTCAGAGTTTAAATTTCCAGCTCGGTAGACTGCGCTGACTATAGGTAATGAGACTGATGATGGAACAATGTTTAGGAAACTCTGCGATATTACGAACCTACATTTTCAGTTCAAACTAATTGCAAATGTAATATTTTGCAAATTAATTCAAAACTTGTGCAACGGCAGCAGAAACAGAAACAGGCAATATGTATTGTTGGGAATATTTCTTTCTATCATTGAAATTGCACATGAATGCTTTCACAAAATCAGTTGTGTTAGTGGAAAGAAGCCGAAATTCTTATAGAACATGAGAAAAAGATGCGATGAAATAACGAATTTGACATAATTGAATTAGGAAATTTCACTGATTTAATAATTGAAATTCTTATATTCAGTGAAGAGCAATCGCGTATATCACAGCGACGTTGAAAATCTTTTCCTTCTGTTATAGCGCAGTCGTGCACGATGAAAATTGTACAGCAGAAATTCCATGCATAATTTTCACTTCATTATGCCAACTCATTCAAAAAATTGTTCTAGAGAGGAATTAGAAAAAAAAGTTAGTCATTTTCTTCTGCTCAATCGAAAAATTTTCAAGCTTAAGGTACGAAAAATTGAAGTTCATTGAAGATTTTTTGAATAAATTGAATCCAAATGAGATTATTTTTGACGTAATAAAAATCCGGAAAAATGGTGTTGGCGTGCACGAAAAGTGGTTTTTGGAGTGATCCAAATAAAAACTTAATTGAGTATGCAACGAGAAAAATTTGTTGCTTTGTCATAGATGGAAAATTTTAAAATCTTGCAATGATACTGGTTTTTAAACTAAACTCACGACATAATCCATAAGATAATCAAGTGAATGGGGTTTTTTAAGCGAGATTATTATGTGCGCATCTGTGAAATTGGTATTTCGCGAAATTGGTGATTAACTCAGTCGAATCAATCGTCTGTCAAACTCAGTGTATTTTTTGAAAGAAATTAATTCTTCACCAATTTTATCCCAGCAAACATTCTTATTGAGTTCTTAATTACGATCTGACTCGAAGATGTCATACATGTGATATCAACTGACCACTGAACACGTTTGATCATAACTCGAAAACAGGGATTTTCCTATACGTTGACACTCATCTCATGATGACTTCCCAGCGCATAGCTAGGATAGAATACATGTGACAACCATTCATCATTTGAATTTGCACTTTCAGCTGCTGGAAAGTGAGTAGGAGAAGGCAAAAAAAAGAAACTATTATAATTTCTTCAATTCATTCGGAAATTTTTGAATTTCTCAATTGTTTAAAGTTTCCTTAAAACTCAAAAAGTCAAGTGGAGGAAAATTTTCAAAATACCAATATAATTATTCGAGAAGATTTCAATTTGACAGTGCACATTCAACGTCGTCACGATGTTACTCTCTGAACTGTCGTTTTCAAAAGTGGACTCAAACATCATCATGTTTCTCGTGTCGTTTTTCAGAACGAAATCAAAGGCGGCGTCGATCACGAACAATACCCGCCACAGTACGCGTTCAGCCAACAGGGCAGCTACCTCCAATTCACCTTATATCAGGTCACTTGCTTGAATTCACCTTTTCGTTTAAAAAAAATCTCACTAGAGAGCCAATATTCCATTCCAAGTGATTTTGCTGGTGAATTGCCTGGAATTCAGAATTTAAAAGCATGCGAATTCAGTTGCAATTGAAAATGAAATGCAATCATTTATTTAAAAAAACGAGGTTTTTTTGAAAAAACACACCATTTCTTAACATCTTCCCTGCTGATTGAGTTATTTTGCGTACAATTACTTCAATTTCTCCTCGAACAATTGATAGTTTAACTGCAGCTGACTTCCCCGAGATAATGATTGTTCGTCCGGGTGATGAACCGCCGAAATACGAGGACGCAATTAAACTGAAAGATGCCACCCCTCCAGCTTACACACCAACCATAACCCAAACAACTACGCACACTTCATCAGCAACCACCGCAACCGCTCCATCGATAAGCACGGGTAAGTGTCGAAAGCGAATTAAAGACGGTGAAATTTTGAGACGACTATTAATTAGCACCTTATGGAATAGTGTGCGCATGATTTTTTATCGAGTTGCGATCCATAGGACATGAAGATCGTGAAAGAGGTACCGTATCGGATTGCGTACATAGCGTTCAGTCGACTGAATCACGGACAAGAGACGATCCAGAAAGTAGTCACGCTCCGATAAGGCGGACGCATTCACTTCCTCATACGTAAGTTCGTTTTCGTTCAGCTTTGTAAAATCGCGATTGTCTGAAGTCAATTCGATGCATCGAGTATTGTTCGACATTTTCACTAATGAATTGAGAATATGAAATGGTTCATCAATAGAGTAGAGTATGGAAGTGACGTTAAATTTATCCTTTTGTTTACTTTCAAACGACTGTACTAAAATAAATCCGATGAACAAACTTCCCGTCATTATTTGAATCACCACACACGATTGTCAGTTTTGTATTGTCAAATCACACGATTATCACCGCAATATCAAATATGACTACGCTATGCATATGGTGTCATTTAGTGTGAAATTTATTCGTTGTGAATATTTTTATTAATTTATGAGAAATGATTAGGGCAAACGAATTTCCGTGCAATGATGTCAGAAACAGATCTATTCCAGAAATGTTAAGCTTCTGAATGAATCGCTTTCGATTCGATCAGTTGAAATGGTCGGACGTGGTTGATACCATTTTTGTGATAGTTCTCAATTGCAGATGTCAGCCGTCGTCATCGAGCGCTCTCCCTAAACAAAGTCGTCGACAAAATACAAGCCTGAAAGCAGGCATTAATGATGATAGCAACAATAGTAGTAGCAATAGCAATAACAATAACAGTAACAATAATAATA